GTTTCGCAACGTATAAAGCCAAGTTGCTATCGAACCTCCTTTGCCGGTATTCCATGTGTCATAAATTCCTTCTATTCCTTCGCCATTCTAGAATAGTAACGTGAAATGGAAAAAAATCTCATCTCGTTTCGTTTCGTCTCGCTGGACGACGAATGTTTCAAATCGATCAACATTTAGAAAAATTCTTACAACAACATTTTAATGATCAAACAAAAAACTGTCGCGTTTTTTCCTGATTTCTTCTTTTTTATCTGCAAAATTTTCTACTATTTGTTTTCTCCTTTTTTTTTTTTTTTTTGATAAAATTAAAATATTTCATATTTAATAAAATAAATCAAAATTCGTATATTGTAAAATTTAACGTCATACTTCTCCCAGACATTGGCTAATTAACATAGTATAACATAAATTGCTTAGAGTGTGCGAAGGATTAAATTATAAAGATAAATTCAACACAGTTTCTTTTTTCTTCTTTTTTTTCCCCCCCCCCCCAGAATTGCATATAGTAACGATAATATAAAAGATAAAACGCAAGAAAAAAAGCAGTAACAGTCAAGAAACAAGATATGATTTAATCAAACAATTAACATTTTATCCAAGAATAAAATCATGATTTTGTTATTAAATGACTGGTAATAAGATTGTAGGAATGAAAAATCATGGTGGTTTGATCAAAATAATAATGGATCGGACAGAATAAAAAGATCATCAATTATCATATGGGTTTTTCCATATATAAGCAGAGCTATTTTCTAAAAGATCTCTCTCGCGCTAGCTAGCTTGTGGAATATTATTCAGAACATTAAACGTTCTCTCGACCGCGAATAATTTCCATAAAACCGCTATCTGGCATCGAAGACGCCATAGAATTCGCCTTCATCTTACATACACACATACACACACTCAAACAAACAAACAAACAAACCTATACGCATTTGCATCTATTTCACTCATTCTATTATTTTATCTATCTCTGTATATCCCTATCTCTCTCTTTCTCTTTCTTTCTAGTTTCCACTCTCTCTGTCTTCATATTTTACCTCTCCTCTCCTCTCCTCTTCCCTCCTTTTTCGAACTCTGCTTTTTTCTGAGGAAAAAGAGTACGTAAGTCGAGTTTCTTGTACGAGTAAGAGAGAGAGAGAGAGTGAGATACTTCGTGTCGTTCTTGCCATTGTTACACGTGTTTACGATCACCTGAAAAACGTGAACGTCTCGTATACGTTGTCGCTTTTATACCCTCCTACTCTCTCTCTCTTTTCTCTTCTCTCTTCTCTCTCTTTCTTTCTGTCTTTCTGTCTACGGAGATACACGTTCTGGCACGTTTATACGACAAGTGCATCGGACGATATAGAACGATACGTGAGACGTGTATTTCGTTCAGAATTATATATCTCTATTAGTAAGTTGAAAAGAGAAAGAGAATAGGTAGAAAGAGAGAGAGAGAAAGAGAGAGAGAGAGAGAGAGTGAAATTCTCCTTATACTCGTTTCTCCTCGCATTTTATCCTCTTCATACTTTTTTCATTTTTCTTCTCTTTCTTTTTTTTTTTTTTTTTTCGCGAGACTTATTCTCACACTAACGTTTTAGTATCCGTATAGTATAAAAAACGTCCGATGAAAATATTATACCATAGAAAATTTGTAAAACAAAAGACGTTTCTTCGTATATTAATCGAAACGAGAGGGTTTGTTCGGAGAGGGTAGAAAAAAAAAATAAATATATAGGAGAAGAAGGAGGAGGAGGAGGAAAAAAAAATGGAGAAAGGTAAGAAGCCATTATGCTAATTTTAAGATCGGACATGTAAACGATCCACGTTCGAGCCGAGATGTTTTACCTGCCGGACGGTGGAAGAATTGTTCTGAAGAATTCATCCCTTGGGTATCGCGAGAAACCGTTTGCGATTCGGTTCGGTTCAGGGGGGTTCGGTTCAGGGGGGTTTGCCGAAAAATCCTTGGAAGCTTGCTAGCTAGCTAGCTATGTGGCTCGTATTTTCGCAAACGATGCGAAAAAGGAACGTGAGCGTGCCGCGAACTTGTTCGAATTCTCCGAGGTATTCTATCCACCAAATACCGAAACCTAGTCCTATATAAATGGAGCGCGAAATTTGAACGACCGAGTTGATCTTCTTTTTTATCGAAAAGGGTGAAGGGGGGCGGGTAGAAAGTTATTTAACCTGCATGCATAATTATCTTATCAAATAATTCATTATATTATATTAAATAGTAGAACACATCAAAATGGAATAAAATATGTTGAAATAAATGAACTTTGGTATTTTTGATAGCATAATTTATCGTACAGAACGGTGATAGTAAGAATCAAGAAGAATTTCATGTACATTTACCGAAATTTTCTAACTATTTCTGTTAGAAGTAAAGTATCGCATGTTAATTGTTAAATCATGATAGAAATATCCATTTTCCTTGAGGGCTAAATGAAAGATATACACACCATGATGGGAATACCATCTATGCCTAAACAAGATTCCGGCATGTCTTTAGGTATTAGATAAAATTAGTAAGCCTTTGGCAAAATGTGAAAACACATCGATCGATAATAGAATAACAAACTCACCATGGTAGTATGAGTTTAAGTTGAAACTATGTTACAGGTATATATACCTATATACATCCAACGTCATTTCAAAGATTATAAAGAGAGAAAAGTATAGTAAAGGAACGGATGAGTGCTCCCTAATCGATTTTTCTACGTATAGTATCGTTGAAGAAAGATTGAGTGGAATTAATGATAAGTTCATGATTAATCGTTAGATACTTTTGTGTTAGAGATTAAATGTTAGATTAATACACATATACAAGAGTCTATTCAATTAGTAATTTATCACTGTAGAAACCACGGTATACCTTTTTAAGAAGACGTCAATGTTCAATGCTATCGTGTTTTCTACTATAACCGCACGTTCATCTTCCGATTATTATATATCGGAACGTAAGGTACGCAGTTTGTTTACAACCCGTCTCGCACAGCTTCACGGAGATGCCTTTGTTATCGCCAGCTCTTTCGTTCCATAACCGTCCGAAGGGATTCGTGCCGATGATGTACGAGCCGGCTTATGGAGAAAAGCCCTTTTTTCCCCTCGTTACTCGAAAGTGCGCTGCCAACTTCCATAATAATTCTTTCCCGAATATCATCATTGCGCCTTTCCTCTTCGTTATCGTCGATTCGATGCTTTTCTTACGATCTATGGGTCTTGGTTTGTGATATGATAAATAATTTATCCTATGAAAAAATAATGGGGAACGTCGTAGATATATGTTTTTTTTTTTCTTCTAAATGTGTTGTTTTCTTTACAACCGCACACGCGAGAATCAATTTTTTGCTTTTTTATTTCAATGTTAATAATAACAGGAAAGTATAGATTTTGTTTTTCTTTGGGAATATATTATTTTATTCTAGGAAATTTTTATTATGATTTATAGTATATATCGAGAGAAATTTTCTGATATATCATTATTATTATTTTTGTTAAAGCTACGGTGCTTATATACAAGGAAAATGATCGCAGTGTTATAAATGTGGCTACAATATTCACAATGAGAGGATGATTTTTATTGCCACTAGATTGATTCGCATGGTCTGATTTTTCAAATATATATAATTGTACTACACACAATACATACAAAAAAAAAATGTGAACCCCCGAACCCCACCGCCGCCCTCGTGGAGAATTATCGTACCCGATGTTTCCTAATTTTCAACGACACAAATTCGATGAGAACGCTTATCCCGATCGTTTTTCTTTTATAAAGCTTCGTTTGTTAAAGCGTTCAATATTTTCTTGTTATAGAATATAAACTATTTTATTGACAAAATAATCAATGAATTTTGAGCGACAAAAGCTAAAACTTGTCAAAGTTTTGTTTACATCGATAAAATCAACAGATAGTAATATCAAAAGTAATATTAACCATGAATATCTACTTATTAAAATTATTAACAGTCGGTGTATTATCATTGATTCTACTATTTAAGTTTAGAACAAGTAGAATGTGATATTATCGACCATTTGTTACTTGAAAAACTACTTTTATTATCGTCGGTAAGGCAGGTATTTAGTCTACTAACTATTTGCAAGTCAGATTTTTTTAGGTGAAATTTTTAAACAAATCAGGAAGTACGAAATGAAATACTTGTAACGTAACAACAAATAACAGTTAGTAGTCTAACATTTATTGCCGAAATTACACGATTAAGTACATCGTATTTACAGAAGGATAGATAGATTTCTCACGTTCACAAATGCAAAAACTAACGCAACGTCGTTCTTACAGCTTAACGTATTTACATGTCCCTGAGGCTTAATCTACAATATCGTTCACACATTTTTATTGTACAATATCAATTGCTCTATGCTTCGAAAGCAACGATCAACGCGTTTATAATCTATTCAATCTATTGGGGTATCACATATTTATCTCTACGTGTATTTACATCGTACACAGTGGTAATCATTATCACAAAATACGCAAGCTAAGTTAATAACTTCTTAAAATTAATGGACTGTGTGCTAAAATTGGATTGACGATCACGTTTTTCGATTGAAAAATCTTTCATGTCCATCATGGATAATATATTAACGCATCATTGCATTATATTTTTTTTATAATTAAGAATGATTATTATCTAGGCAGTTTTTATCAATGATGCGAAAAATATTATCGATATTCAAGTTTACCAAACAGTTTCGCTAGTTTTATTCTTCATCCTTTCATTAAATGGGATTAGTTAAAAAATTATTGTCATTGTACTGTAACTTAATAGGATAATCTACTATCTATATATATATATAGAGTATATATAGTTTATGAGTAATATTATGCGATAGCACACATTACTTATATCGATTTAATCCTGTAATACAAAGACACGAAGCTTTACAATTGTTAATGACGTTTCGTACGATCGTCGTAGATTCTCGATAACACAAAAACGTAATAAGTAATAACTTAAAAGAAGTTTTTTTTCGGGAAGTGGGGACGGATGGGGTGGGGGTGGGGGTGGGGGGTTCAGAAAGGATCATTACACGGCTAGATAAACTCTACTTCGTATCCTTCGTTTCTCATAGATTTTTTTTTTTACCCCATTTCATAATCTAAGAGCTTAAATTTATGATATCTTTCATTTCTCTGGAGACTTTAAACGGTCATAGGTAATCTTGTAGGATCTTCATGGAGAAACGAAAAACGCACAAAGCGTGGAACTCATGATTAAAGATTTCATAATATTTCTCTTCACTTTCTTCTATTCTTTTATCTTATCTTTTATTTTCTTCCGTACTTCCATCCTTTCTTTTTCGTATGTTTTTGGAAAACTTGTCCCTTATGCAATTCGAAAGTTGGAAGTTTCCAACGGGAATCGACAGATTTGCGATTCGTCGTGGGAGGAACCATAGAATGAAGGAAAAATCTATTTTTTCTCAAAAAATTTTTTGTCGAAATTCTTTAACGTCGCGAGGGTAGAAATGACAACGATAGAAAAGGGTCGTCTACGTTGATAATCCACCAAGAACGATACCAACGAATACGATGATACCAAGATTTATGTAAATGCGATGAAGATGAAAGCACGACGATGCTGTGGCCGATTGAAAATCCAATTGTTCTTCGCCACTATCCAAATTTCCTTTCGACATTGGCTCGTCCCTCATGCCGGCAGCTTTTTTCTCGTTACTGTGATCCAATTTCCAAGAATTTTTCGAATCCCGTCGAGTACCTGGTCGTCTCGTCGTTGGTTGTCTGTCAATTCCTATAACAGAAAAAAAAAAAAGGAAAAAAAGGTAATTAACAAAGTAACGTTCGTGGTAAAACAAAGAGGAAAGGAAAACAAAAGAGAACGCGATCTAAAAAAAATTAAAAACAATATATTAATATATATATATATATATATTTTTGTTGAAATTTATTCAACGCAAACGAATTTAAATATCACGCGAGAAAAAAAAAGAGAGAGAGAGAGAGAGAGAGAAAAAATAAAAGTTAAAAAATCAACTTAAATGTCATTTCACATCGATAAGCTTTTATCCATGTTGTGTCGATAACTTGTCATTATTTTCTCTCCTTTTTCATCTTTATGTTTATTTGTTTCTTTCTTTCTCTCTCTCTCTCTCTCTCTCTCTTTTAAAATATGCTTTTACGCGCATAACAAACGTTTATTTTAACGAAAGCATTATCTGCGAACAATAATGTATAGTATTTGGACCATGAGGGATTTAGGCCATTTGCGTAACGAATATTAAGTTCGATTGCGAATAAATACGAGAGAGAGAGAGAGAGAGAGAGAGAGAGAGAGTGAGAGAGAGAGGAGAGTTTTTGATAGAATTATTAAAATTCGACGTGGTAGACGTAGAGTGACGAGAACACTAGACACAATCGTGCGAATGGAGTTATAAGTATATTGAAAAAGAATGAAAGAAAAAAAAAAAAAAAGCATGGAAATAAATATAATGAAAACGTAAATTGCCGTTTCACGATGACCACGCAAGTATTAGTAATAAAAATAATAATAATAATAGTAATAACAACAGTAGCAATAATCTTATTAACGATTATTAAAATAGTAAGAAATATCTTGCCGAATCATATCCAATGATTTACTTAAACACTTCCATTAATAATAATAAAAAGGAATGACTTGGTTTATTGCGAATTAATTTTCGGTTAAAAAAGAAAAGAATAATGCGAAAATATTAAAGAAAAAACAAATCCCACAAAATGGAATAATATTAATAAATTAATTATTTATCTCGTGCAAAAAGAAAATTATTAATAAATATGGAAATATTTTATTATGAAYTGCATGAAAAACAATACATTAWAGAATATTAAATATTACCTCGATCCCTAAAGTTCARAATCTTTTACATTTGAACGCAGACATAMATTCTTATAATTTTCAAAAAGTTTCAGTGTTTAAATATAACAAATTGTAGATGTTTAGTTTTTTGAAAATTATAAAAATGTATATCTACACAAATGTAAAAGACTTTGAAYGTTAGGGATCGAGGTAACATTTAATATTCTATAATGTATTATATTTCTCATATAATTAATAATAAAAAATTTCCAGTTACTGAAGAAATCCTAATAAAAGGACAAAACGTCAAATTAGATCAAAATCAAGTTCTAGGTTCTTTATATTGTCCAATTTCCCTGCTAAACATATTTATTAATATTAATTAAGTTTGACGAAAGATGACAGTGAAAATGAAGCTCAATCAACGTTAAATGAATAGTTCAACACGATGTATAATAGATATATCGACATTTTCAAAGAGTCTCCTCGATAAAAGCAGCATCAGCACCACCACCAGCATCAGTATTAGTAATAGCAGAAGCAAAAGCAATGGCATCAACCAAGCTTGTTGTCGATCACGTTTATAGAGATGATAACCTTTAACGTCCGTCGAATCGTACACCGTGGGAAGCCACTTTGCGTCGAATCGTGTTCGAACGAATCCGGGGTTGAAAATGGCGAATCGAGTGTATTCGGTAGAAAAACCTGTCGACGAGTAATAACCGGGGAGAAAAATAATCGGCGAAGCTACTGGACTATTTCCCACACGGCAGATGTGCTTTACTGTTTTGACGTATTGGAACGTCGTCGGGCCCGAAACGTTTTCAACTAAATCCCCGATAGATAGAGAAAGGAATAAAGTGAAAGAGAAAGAAAGGGTTGGTTGGTTTGTTGGTTGGTTGGAAAGATAAAGAGAGATGGAGATAGTGATAGAAAGGGGGATGGGTTCAAATAGAAAGAGAAAGAGAAAGAGAAAGAGAGAGAGAGAGAGAGATGAGGGCTCTTGTCACTTGCACGCTTCGTCGAAATGTCGAGAGTTCTGCAACGATATTAATTCCTTCTCTCCACATTCGAGGTATTCGCGAAAACGCGCGTTTTCTAATTAATCGTTTGAAATAACAGATGCTCTCTCTCTCTTTCTCTTTCACACACATAACCGCGGACTGAGTATTCTCGTCTATTCGTTCGATCGGATAAAAAGGGAGAAGGGTACACCCTATACCCCCGTAGGTAGATAGGTAGGGGACCGTTCAACCATCGGACTCCATTGTGGTCGATCTCTCCTCGAATATAAAAAAAAAAAAAATAATAGAAAGAGAGGAGGAAAAAAAAATCTCCGCGTGTGCTTTTTCATTTAACACTCGAGCTTTGCTCTTTTTTCCTTCTTTTTTTTTT